ATTGGCAATGTGGGACAGTGTTATCACTGCTTTGTTCACTGATTTTATCTTGAATGCAGTTTATTTAAAGCTTAGGCTAACTAGCTATATTCATATTTAGAGAACAAAGACCACAAAATTTTATATGTCACTTTTTTTTTCTGTATATAAATTTGAGGTGCTTATATTGGTGCTTTAGGAGACTTTTTACATAAAAAAGTCATGTAACCTTTCACTTTATTACCTGTAATATATTACAGATAATATATTTTCCTCCTTTAAAATTACTTAAAATTATGAATGGAAAACAAAGTTAATAACATGTTCGAATCCTATCAATTTAAGAATATATTGCATTAAAAGTACAGCTTGATCTAGTAAATACAGCTCATGGAAAGAATAACAAGAATAAAAGGAAACCCCGAGTAATGATTATAGAGTGGTCAAGGGACAACCAAATTAGAGACAGGTAGAATTTGGGCTACCCAATCTAATGCCCTTGTTTCCTTCATTTACAGATGAGACAGCAAGGTTCCGTGAGGTAAAATTCCAGAGTTACACAGCTCGTTGAAGAGGCAAAACTAGAAATCAGGTCTCCTCACTCAACATTTGTGGTATTTAAGAATAACGTAACACATTTTTATTAAGCATTAAAAAAACTGCCAATTTAGGAAAAAGAAATTATTTAACTCTAAAGTTTTTTTTCTTTTAAGCCTTTAAGTACAACACACAAAAAATATTTGCAAGCTAGCAATATAAACAAGCTGACTTATATAACAAAAACCCAGGGCAATATGATAAAATAACAAGCTTGAAAAGTATCAGTCTTATGAATACTAATGTTACTAGTGAATGGTATCTACCAAAATTATGGAACGCTGAATCCTCAAAATCTGAATTACAAGATAAAAAACTTGTTTCTTTGTTAGGTTAAACTGATGACAGTGGCCAATAAAATAGGAATAAGGTATGAGCAGTATTATCATACCAATGAAAATGTCCAAGAAAGGATACAATAAGTTTCCTGAGAAAGGTGATTCTTAAAAAAAAATAATCTGAAGGAACTTATACTTTGATGCATTTAAACAGACTGAACTACTCTTAAAGGAAGTAGTGTTGTACTGGTATGGTATCTGACTAAAATATAAGTGAAACTTTCTTTTATCTTTACAGTAACAATTTTACTAATTAGAGATCACAGAGCAAGAAATATGCTTATAAACTAATTATATTACATCTTAAAATTAGGAAAAAACTCCAGTAGACTGATTACAGTCCGATGGGAGGTAAAAGCTGCTTGGTCTTCCTATTCCTTTCCCAAAACTCATATAACTGGACAAAAAGGAAGTGAAGAGACTTAAATTATGAGGAGATGGCAACATAATTTTTTCATGTATAATAGAAATAATATAAGAATAGTCTATAAAATTATACAGCTACTAAGAATTGAATGTAAATGCTTTTTCTTATTTTAATCAGTTGCAAAAAGGGATAAAGAAGTTTAAAATAATCATGAGGTCCTTTGTAAATCTTGGTTCTATAAAGATGTTATCTTTTGTGTGTTTACATGTAGAAAAAATGGGAGAAATCCTTACCTTTTATGAAGGTTTAAAAAATTATATATACAAACATACAAACAAGATAATGTTATAACTTAAAATTTAAAGTTTCACAGTGATGAAAACCAATAACTTACGGTAATCACCTTTTAAAAAGTTGTTCTAAATCAGAAAGAATTAGGTACATGAAAGTCCTCAAAGAAAAAGAGTTATAAGGTCTACACTCCTCTTTATATTTTTCTTACAAATTTCAGTGAAGTCAAACAATTTTATATAATTCCATATTAAAGGTAACATATAATAGAGATCCCCAATTTCTGTTGAAAGTGACCTACAAATTCACCATAATAAGATTTGAGAGCATACTGTGGTATAACATATATTAAAGAGCCAACACAATTTAAGGGCATAGTTACTCTTGAAAAAGAACCTCATTTTTAAAAGGATAATTGGACTATTGATTTAAAGATTTTACCAAATGAATACTAGTCTAATTGCCTATTTCGTTGTTACTGCTATATACCACTAAAGACCACATCCTTGTTTTCTACAACCCCCAAATTTGAACAGAAACATAAAACTAGAGCAATTTATAGATTACAGAGCACCATAACACATGCTATCTCATTTGATCCTCACAATATCCTGTGAGGTATGTTGGGACCAAAAATTGCTTTATCCTCATTTTACATGGAAGAAATTGAGACTAAGAGAAGTTAAATGGCCTGTCCAGTTCACATCATAATTATGGGTCTTTGAATTCCAAGCCCAGTGGAATTTTCATTACACTAGACTATGTAAGTCATCCAAGTATGATAATATATATAAATGTACCTTTGGCATTTCAAAAGCAGTATAATTATCATCAGAGCGAAATTCTAGTATTAATGTTTTCTAAGCTTCAGCCAACGATCCTCTATTTTATCAAAAAAATTTAAGTAGTTCATTTTATTTCATGAGGCTATAGCCTAAACCAAGGTAGTTGTAATTTCAGTTATTTCCAGCTATTATCACAAAGAAACTAATGAGGTAGGTTAAAATGTTGAAAAAATTTTCTAATTTGAAGAGATCCTTAGAATTTTTATAAATCTGCTCTAAGAAGCAGCAGAGAGAGAAAATCATTACTAAGAAAGGGCTGCCTGCACATTTATTCACCCAACTAATACACAAAGATCTAACTTCACATAAAACCAAAAAGAGCCTAAATACTTCTAAGAATAGCTTTCACCTTTAAAAATTAATATAAAGTATTGGTACAAGTTTGTATATATATTTCTTTAATTTAAATAGTAACATAAACTGTTACTATAGGAGAAATAAGCTTCATTTGGTACAATTTACTTGTTTCTTATGACTTGCTGCGTGTTATTTTGGTAAAGCAGACTTCATCTCACTTAGTTTAAATTCAGATCCTTCAAATTTTTTTGAAGTGAGACTCTCACTGTTAGGGTAAAAGTGAGTTGCATGATATGAGTTATTCATTCGTTCATTTATTGAAAAATTTACTATGTACTAAGCCCTGTGCTAGTTATTGAGTTATTAATCAATTGTTCTTTGAAACTAATTTTTATTTTGAGCTTAATATTGTCTTGGATCTTTTAATTACTGAATAAATTAAATTAAATACAATAATGATGAAAGCAAAGTATGTTTCAAAAACCTTTTGATTATATATTGACATTTCAGAGAACACTATTATTTTCTCAGTTGTCTACTGAACAAACGAAACAGTAAACATTATCATATGCCAATCACAAGACAAATTAAAGTTAAACATATGGTAAGAAAGCTGTCCAGACTTGCTCAAGTTGGTTTAAGCTAGTTGAAACTTGAAATTGCTGTTTTGCTACATACATATAGTTCAACTGTCTCTTAAAAATAAATTAATTTGGAGTACTGGTTTGATAAACAACACGACCCAAATTAAATACTGTTATTCAAAACAATGAATTAACAATATTAAGCAAATTCTGTGGAACAAAATTAAGACACTGGAAGTAACTGAAATGTCAATATAACATTTATATATATATTAACAGTTAATTTAAGAGATGACAATGAATATATAAAATCAGGAAGCACAAAGTTAAGATTTTCAGTGATGTTCACTTAACTGTCTATACTTGGCCACTTGTACAAGAAGACCAATTAACATCTTGGCAATTGATAATTTAATGCAGATGGCGATGACTGACAACATCTTAGAGCTCAAATTGGTGCCTTCTATTTTAACTTCTTATTTTTGTTTCTGAATGTTTGTGTTGGTCCTCTCATGCTGTTCTCAGGAGACATTCTCAGACAAAAGCCTCATGAATTACTAATTTATTTATAAATGAGTTGTTATAAATTTGGCCTTCAGAGAAAAGGTTTACTAAATGTCAGTTATGAGGGAATTCACACTCTGTCTGTCTTGAGCACTAACTCCAGTTCCAAGGAGAAAGACAATGAAGACGGGAAAAAACATTTTGGGCCAAATGTTCAAATATATCTTATAAGGAATTAATAATAAAAATATTAATATATGTACTTTGAAAGAAACAACATGATATACAAACAAATTACACATATTTCAGCTGATAAAAGCTTCATTTCAATATCTAATTTTCTGGTACTTTTTTTTTAAAAAAAAAAGGAGTGTAAAAGTACATATGAACTAAACACATGTCAAGGAATGTACTATAGTAGCCCTCAAATAAATCTCTTAAATCCTCAATAATCTTAATCCCTTATAGTTTATGATTTACAGCTTTCAAAGACCTTTCATATGATTTTTCACTTGATCCCTATTTGACAACTTTGTGAGGTAGGTATTTATCTTCTAACTTCATTTACAAACAAGGGAACTGAAGCTCAGAGAAGTTGACCTTTTAAAGGTCAAAAGCCAGCATATGACAAAGCCAGGCCTCTCTGGAGCCTAGAATATTTTTTAAGGTGTTATTCTTGGATTACCTGCATAAGAATCACTGTGGTATTTTTATAACTAGAGACTTTAAAGTCTTACCACCTTTGAGTTACAGAATAAGAATTTTTAGGAGTGGGGTCAGTATTCCACATTTTATAATGGACAAATAAAGTGGAGAACAATTCTTTATCAGGTAGTGATGTAAAAGCATAATATTGAGTCCAGCTAGATTTTCACATGATATAATAAGATGCCATCAGATCATGATCAGGGGCAAGTTAGTTTAAAACAGCCTGCAGCCTGGCTACAAATTAGAATCATCTGGAAAGCTTCTTTAAAAACCTACCAATTCTCATCTGAATGAGAGGAAGGCTTGGGCATAAGAAGTTCCCCAAGTGATTCTTACCTGTAGTCAGGGTTGAAGGCATGCTTGTTTAAAATGTTTTTCTATATAGCACATCCAGCATTTTCCAGAATTTTTCTTTCTCTGCTGATCAATTCATATATAATACAGTTACCAGTTTTTACTGTAAATTATTTAAACATTATAAGACAAAATGTCAAACATTTTTGAATTGATATTTTTAAGAGTACAAGATATTTCACAGCAAGACTAATCATGCCTCATTTAGCTACAGTGATTTTTCAGATACCCCAAATAAATCACCACTTTGGACTTAGGTTATATATATTTCAGCTGTAAACCAGACTGATCCAGAATCTGAATACAGATATAAGGGGGGGGGGCAAAAGCTGTAGCCTATTTGCTACTGGGCAATGCAAGTACAGACAACTCACTGATAAGGAGGGGCCTGGATGCCAAGATCTGGTGGCTTTGGCAAGATCACATCTCACTGTAGGAAAATACAACAATAAATACAGAGAAAACATTTTGCCATTTTGTAATTGTGGTTACCACAAAAATCCTTATAGTATGTGATGTTTATCTTATTACATGCCTCCATGGAACAGATCTGAACATAAAGTTCTCTCTGAATTAATACTACTACATGGGGAAAGATGGCTACAAATTATTTTTCTATCATGCATATGGGTAAGTTATAAAAACACTGTAAGTAAAAGTAATATTTACAAAAATAATAAAAAACAGCTCAATTACAGGAAAAAAATGCCCATTGATACTCCTAATCCTGTATCTCTCTGGATAAAATTTATTTTGATAGAATTTTGAAAGAGCCTTCAATAGACTAATCCGATTCTTCTGTTGATCTTATATTCTATTAGCTAAAATACCCTTGCTGGTTTATCAAATTCTCCTACAGTTTAAAACCACAGTTCTTTTTCACTTACTGAAAATAAAACTACAAAGTCCTACCATTCATCTGGGAAATAAACCTTGCATAGAAAATTCTTTAATTCTGAAATTTTGTTTTATTAACAGAACAATCAGAATGTTATCTCACAGCTAGTTGATATTATATGAAAGTTCACTACAAAGCAGTCACCACACATTTAGGATTTTTCTAAATATAAAATAGTGAATTTATAAAAATGCTTACCAGACAAATAATTCTTAGCATTTTGGACGCCTTGACGTTCCAAGTTTGATGCAATATAAAAAGCAAAAATTTACGTTTCCAATGGACACAATCTGCACCTGACTGAACGCGTGATAACAGTGAGTTACAGCAGTCAGTCATGCAAAGGCAAAGAATAAAATCTGCTTTTTAAATGGCATGAATGGTCCACCTTAGACGGGACAATTTAAGCACTGGTTCCATCTTCTTCAATAACTCGGTTCATGCTGGTGCCATGTGTGATGTGAGTCATAGGATTATTACTGAGATCTCGGATGCTGCTATGTCGTGACTGTTCATTGAGCCGATGAGAACTACTGTGCCTGGAGTGGTCCGTTAGTCGTGACATGCTGCCATGAGGTAGTCTCTCTTCCATTCCTCTGTAACTGCAGGGAGTGTACCTAATGTAGGAGAGTTTATTTTGAAGCAGGTAACAGAACATACAAGAAAAATAACACTAAAATTTTCCATGAAAATGCTGCATTAAGTGAAATAATTTGGAAACCAATAAGGGAAAAAATAACCCACCTTTGATGATTTACAATAATTTCATTAACATGGTAGAATTATTCATATGGCTAACTAAAAAAGGGAAGAAAATCTCATTAGATTCAGAATTAAGGTCCTATTCTTTGCAAAAGGACAGAAGCTAAGGTTAACTTTTCTCATTCAAATGAGTTTTGGGTTATGGGGTGAGTTCAGGGAGAGGAGGAATAACAATAGAGGAAATATGGCATTGACCCAGGGAGTCTAGAAAATTGATATAATCAGAAGTACAGCAACTAAAATTTTACTAAAGTACTCGGAAGAGAGAGCATATAAAATTAAGAGGAGAAATTAGTGTAACCAAAAAGGAAAAAAAAAGATGAATGAACTGGTAAGCAACAATGACAGTATGTGCCAACAGCTTCTTTCCAGATAGCCCAGTTAACAGTTGAATTAACTACTGTAAATGGGCTTAAATATTTTTCTTCAGGGCTGTGAGGATGCTATGCTATTTCACAGAAGGTACATCTACTTAAATATAGGTAACAACATCCTAACACACTGTAACTTATATTCCTGCTAAAGCAAATTCTCTCAGTACCCCTAACTGAAGACACAGCTTTTGAGTATGTCAACTGGGTTACACTGCTTATTGCAGGCAGTCTTCTCCTCCATTATTGTACTTATCTTGAAAGGCAGCAGTGGGGAGCTATTAAATTTTCTTTTGTTGCAATCCTGACTCACTGAGCCCCATCACAGGTCAGGAAACTCACACTCATATGTATACTTTCTTGTAAAAACTATTTAATTTAGGATAACAAACCTCAAAGAAAACAACTGACTATAATTTATAACTTTAATTAATATATTAAATTTTAAGTAACGTTTCTAAAAATAAGAACATAGCAGGTCATTTCTTTTTTTAAATAGTCATCAAAAGAACTAATCATAAGCAGCTGAAGACCTATTGGATGTCAAAGCATTCATTTATCATTCCTTCATAATTATAACAAATTTTAAGACTCAATATGAATAATTTACAAAATTTAAAGATTTTAAAGATTGATTCATGCACTACTGAGGAGATCTAGTTTTACAGCAGTGCTTGTTAGATAATGTTTTCATTAAATCATAGATTTTAAAAATTGAGTTCTTTTAAAATTATAAAAGAAAGTATGTCTTTTGTTTCCAGTTTTAGATTTGATTTGCATGTTTGGTAAAATAATTACAATGCTAAATAAAATAATGATTGCACTAAAATGAGTGAAAGATTCTAATTTGAAGATCTTTCACCTTTCAATGACTTCATAAGTATCTGTTTCAAGTAAATATGGCAAATGAAAAAAACAAAATCTGATGCAGTTCTAGGAATATCAAGGTAATTTTTTAAAAATTGCTACTTAAAAATATGAATTGGGTATTTTCTAAAATGAAACCTAAGTCTTCGAATTATAAGTATGACCCAAAGAATACATTTTTCATAGAAAAATTACTATATTGAGTTCTCATGCCTAATTATTTAAGTGAAATATATAGCTATCCACAAAATTCTAGAATATAAACAACCACCCATGGATAATTAGGAATCAACTACACCAGAAAAATAAATTTAATTATAGTATTTAATCTCAATTGTATATGTGGGAATTACCAAGTTTATTTATCTTTTGACAATCTTTTAAACCACTGTGACCGTCTAACATACAATATGAAAATGTACATTAACCTTAATATAAGTTTAGGAAAAAACAATTAGGATAGTTAATTTGCTGAAAAGATAATATGGTGCATTACAAAGTCAAATGAAAGAAACTTGAAGATGAATTACTCTCTCTGATTCTCTAAACTATTTGATACTGTTAATATAAAGAATTCAATTCATCTTAATTCCACTAGCATCTCATTATGCATTCCCTAGCTTTCCCCTTTCGTAACCTACTTTTACCATCCTACTCACTCATTCCCAAACCACCACCTACCTACTCATCCACTTGCTTTTCTACCCATCTTCTCTTCTACCCACCTATTACTTATTATTTGAAGTTGACATACATGTGTAAGAGTACCTTAGTGTATGTTATTTTACATAGCACTAAGATCAATTATTCATCAAGGAGTCTGGACTAGAGTGAGTATTGAGAAGCAGGTGTAGGGGGTGTGTGTGTGTGTGACCATAAAATGATGAGAAAAAGATGGCCAAAAGATAGTGTTAACAAGTAAACTTAAAAACTGATGCAAAAAAGAAATCTCCATGAGATGGCTTTTGGAATTATGAAAATCCCTGTTTAGAGTTTTAGGTTCAGTGTGGTCTGAGGCACTGGGTATGGCAGGGAGTCTTAAGTGTGAGTGTTCACACACTACGTTACAGAACACCCTTAGAAGGCTGCCGTTACAGTTCTGGGCTCTGAATTTCTGGGAAATGCCCACATTATTTCTAAAATCATTAGTTATTAAATATATTTGTCTCCTAATATATACATATACCTAGCACTGTGCTATATGCTGTGGGAGAAACACAGAGATGTCTTATCTTTCCCATAAGGTTATATGTTCCCAGAATGCAGTTCTCATTCTCCAGAAGCTGCAAACTTAGCTGAGGAAAGAAAACTGTATTAAAAATAGGTCATTCCAAAAGAATGATTAAAAAGCAATTAACTAACTGCTATGGATATGGCAATTAAGTAGATCTTAAAGGACGAATATGATTTTGATTCAGCAGAGAGATAGGAAATGACATTGTAGGAAGTTATAATCTATCCTCTGGATTCCAGGACACTACATTTTTACTGATTTCCTCATATGCCTACAAGCACTTTCTCTGAATCATATGCTGGTTATTCTTCCTGTATTATTATTACTGTAAGTATTTACCAAGGACTTGTTCTTGGTGTGTTCTTTTTTTATTATGACTTAAGGGATTCCATGTCACAATTTTAATTACCAACTCCTTATACTAATGATTATAAACTTCCTTCTCTAAGCTCCAGTTTCACTCAGATTACAGAGGCTGAAATTCCCTATTTTTAATTACCTTCAGAAATTCTCTATTCAATATGAACTTATCTTTTGTTACCATTCATTCACCATAGTTATCTTCTCTAAGATATTTTCATGGGCCAATCTGATCTTTCCCTTTTCTGAAGTTCCGTAACATCAATCATCTCTAGCACTCACTGTTTTCATTATATGCTGATTTGCACTATTATTTAATTGGTTCTTATATAAATGTCTTATCTTTCCCATAAGGTTATATGTTCCTAGAATGCAGAAATTACACTTTACCTTTCTCCTATATATCTCTTTATATAAAGAATAACACATGCATATGCACAGGTATTGTACTATAAATATTCAAACATTATTGAAAAGGATAAGGCTAATAATATCAAATGTCAAATAATGCTGATAGTTATTTCATGGAGGATGGTGTTGACATAATGTATTCTAAAAGACTCTCTGACTCCCTCCCTCTTATGAGTGACTTAAGATAGGACCCCTAAATTAATGTAGAAACTTCCCAACTGGGTTTACTTAAAATCTCCTCTCCTATGCTGTTGACAAAGTGATCATTCTCAAATACAGACCCGATTTTATCACCACAAATGCCTAAATGTACATACTCCAATATCTAACTGCCTTCTGTCCTCCTTGCCTCTGTATATGCTCTTTCCCTGTCATTAATTTCCAACTGTGTTCTCTGAATCCTACTCAAAGTAGCAGTACAATGTTGTCTTAAACTTTCCACGATGAGTTAGATGGTTTTCTTCTCTGGGATCCTAAAGCACCTTGTATACATATGATTATGCCCATTAAAGTGTATTATAACTGATTGTTTACTCTTCTGTCTTCCATCTCTTGGTCCCTAGCACTTAGAAGGTTTCTCACATAGGAGTGCTGAATGGAAGGGAAAAGGCAGGAAAGAGAAAAGATCTTTGAATGGGGTTAAAAACATGGTACAGTTCAGGTGGGTAAGATGGAGTAAATAAATAGATACACAAGAAATAAAGAATGGAATAGGTGGAAAGGAAATACTTAAAATTTCATTTCAAAATCTGGCAAGGAAAAAAATGAATAAAAGACAGAAAATATATCATAGTCAAAGAAAGGCTGCTGCTTTTTAAAACACAAAACGAGTAGCTGACCCACTTAGAAGGCAAAGATCTTCCAAGAAGATCTAAAAAGAGAGTAAGTGTAGGACTTATATCCTACATTAGGACAGAGAAGACTGACAGAAAGCCTGGGATGAGATTGAAAAGATACCAGACAGTTGCAGAAACAGGTGCTTTAAAGTTAACACAGAATGCTTGCTATTTTAGGCATAAGAATGTTCATTCTTTCAGTTTCCCAAACTATAAATCTTAAAAAAGTAAATAAAATAAAAATCTTTGATATAATCCTCTCTAGTTGCTATTAATCCATCACCAATTCCTATCTTTTCTTCTTTCTAAATATTTTTCAGATTAGTTCTTCCTCTCTTCCCACTGCCATTACTTTCCTATTAACCTTCAACACCTCTCAACTGAATTATTGCAAAGCTCCTAAGAAGTTTCTAATCTAGTGTCTCCATTATCAAATTTAACAAGAAAAGAGATCCCTTTCTCTCATTCTCAATGTGAAGCTTTCTCTGACCCTATGCCCTTCCTATTTTTATAAGTAAAATTTTACTGGAATATAGCCATTCCCATTTTGACTACATATTGTCTAGGGCTGCTTTCATACTATGCACTTACTGAGACAGGCACTGTTCTAAGCAATTAGATATATTATCTCATTTATTTTTTACAGCATAAATGAATAGTTGCAACAGAGATCATATGACCCACAAAGCCTAAAATATCTACTATGTGGCTCTTTGTAGAAAAAGTTTGCCAACTTCTGGACTATACAGTCTTCCCTTGGTATCCACCAGGGATTAGTTCTAGGACCCCAGCGGATACTAAAATCTATGGATGCTCAAGTACCTTTATACAAAATAGTGTATTTGCATATAGCCTACACACATCCTCCTATATACTTTAAATCATCTCGAGATTATTTATAATATCTAATACAATGTAAATGCTATGTAAATAGTTGTTTTACTGTTCTGTTTAGGGAATAATGACAAGACAACAAAGTCTGTACATGTTCAGGGCAGACACAAACACCATAGGCCAAACTACATAGTACATGTCAGCAACAAAGTAACACTTTTCTCCCCAATATTTCTGATCTGCATTTGGTTAAATTCCTGAATGCAAAACCCACAGATACAGAGGGCCAACTGTACTATCATATTTATATTTTACTTTAATTGTTCACTTACAATAATAACAGAAGTTATCAGGCACTTACCGAGACAGGCACTGTTCTAAGCAATTAGATATATTATCTCATTTATTTTTTTACAACAGTCCTAAAGGGGCAGATATTATTACTTTTTCCATTTTACAGTCAATGAAACTTATCATTCCAAACCCCATGTTTTTAACCACAACACTAACAGTGACTACATTATCTTTCTTAATAGACATGAACTTATTAAAAACAAAGATTATGCCTAAATCATCTCTGTATTCCCAGAACAGTGGCTGATATAGTAGGTAATCCATAATTGTTTGCTAATTTAATCTTACTAACATAACCAATTTCATCCTGCCTTCTCCCTACTGAATACCCTTTGGTGACTCCATATTGTTTACTACATCAAGCCTAAACTCCTTTGACTGGCTTTAAGTTGGACCATGATCTGTGACAACTGTTCCTAGCAAAGTTTAAAAAAAATTAACAATGCTCGACTTTTATTTCAGAATTGGTTACTCTTCCTTAAGCTGTGTAACTCTAATTCAACACATGAAATAAACTAAGCTACCAGTAAAACTCACCTGCCATCACGGGATCTGTGGAGGCTGCCGTGGTAGCTGCTCACTTTGCTGTGGACACTCCCTGCTTTGCTTCTCTGATCATCCACCATAGCCAGCTGAGTGGAAGAAGCATGTGTGGATGTTCCTTGAGTGGACGTTCCTCTTGATTTTCTTATAATAGGAGTATTTGGATCCCTCAGGAGGGACTGAGCAAAATCAGGTTCTTGGAGTACCTGTCTGCTCTCATTCACTATCCTAGACAACAAAATTCTAAGTTTAAGATACAGATTAACATTCCTACAGACTAACAAACAATACTTTTGTGACACACTGACGTTACTCTTTAAATTAATTGCTCTCCGCATAATGTCTTTAGGGCAGATATGACATTGTTAGCAGAGGAAAGAATATTGCAGAAATTCATGTCAATCTGTCCTCTAAAGTGATAGATGCAAAGAGGACTGTGCTAGAATAAGGAAATAAAAATTTTACTTTCAACTCTATCACCAAATATGTGATCTTAGGCAAGTCACTACCTCCTTTCCTTCATTTTCCTTATCTATAAAATGAAGTTGTACAATTTCAAAACTTCTAAAAAGTCCTTTTCAGCTAAAGAATTTTATGATTTGCATGAGCACCTAAATAGGTATTACTAGAAAAGTAGAGGGATTGTTTTATTGCATGGTTTATGGAAGTAATGGAGGCCCTCATCGTAGCACAGATACATTTTTTAACTTGTTAGAGCAGTTGTTTTAAGGCTACAACTTGATTTCCTAGCATAAGCAATTGTCTAGTGCTGGAATAAACATGAGTGGCCATAATTAGAACAAAACATATGAAAAATTAATTTAAGCAAACATAGTTAAGTTCGTAAAGGCTTAAGGAAAAAATTTAAGGGGATAAGTTATTGTCAAGAGCAAAAGTTTATAACTGCTATGAAAGTGTATCTGCTATGAAAGTGTTAAATACAGATACATGCTTATGACAATGAACAAAGCAGTAATTAATTTAATAAAAGAGCCAATTAAATAGTTGCAAAGATCAGTGTCTCAGTTTATGTAACTGACTTGAGAACCACAGTTAAAGCTAAAATTTGCTAACAATTTCATTACAAAAATACTCCAATGTGTAAAGATTGCATCATATAGTGAGAAAGTGCAAATATTCTTTTTTCAAATTACAAAGGCATTGTTGTTGTTTTTAGTGCTGAGGTAGAAGGGCTGAAGGAAGACTATTCGTTGAGTACCTGCATTGTACCAGGTATTTTAAATACATTCTCCTTTGATCCTTTTTTTAAAAAAATTTAAAAATTGATTTTGAGAGAGAGAGGAAAGGAGAGGGAGAGAGAGAGAAACATCGATCAGCTGCTCCTACATGCCCCCTACTGGGGACTGAGCCCACAACCCGGGAATGTGCCCTGACCAGAAATCGAACCTGCAGCAACCTTTTGGTGCACGGGATGACACCCAACCAATAGCCACACCGGCCAGGGCTATCCTTCTTAATAATGTTTTTATTATGGAAACTAATGTCCTGAGAGAGTACTTCTAAGAGGATATTAGGTATACTGTGGTTCTCATTTTATAGATGAAGAAACTGAGGTTCTAAGGGATTAATGGACTTCCTAAAAGACACACAACAAAACCAGTAGTCAGGGATCAAACTTAAGTTTAAAGTGGCTTCGAAGCCAATCATAAAGTAATGATAAAATAATGTTTACATATATCCTGGAAACAAAGTGTCAAAAACTAGACAGAAGAAAGAACAAGAATAGTTTTTAAGAAAAATACAGTATTTGTTCCTCTGTCATCAATACATATATATGTACATCCCAAGTCAGTCTTGACTACTGACTTTATTTTCTAAATTTAGTTTTAAAATTTGGTTCAAACTGACTTCTGATTGTTCCAAAGATTTAATCCACCTTCAAATGGTGAAGGTTTGTCCCCTCATTTTACAGATAAGAAAACAAAGATCCAGAAAAATTAAGTGATGTTACCCAGACAATTCTAAAAGAAAATTTCTAAAAATATTTCAATCAGTGTCAAAATTATTAGCATAAGCAGTCTTAAATGTGGCTTCACTTAGGGGGAGAACACTAATTTGATTAACACAGTTTTAGAAGCCAATCTCTATAGCACAGTATAATAAAGGGGTTAAGAGCAAAGACTAGAGTCTACAGTCAGAATGCTTGGGTTTGAATTTTAATTCTAGCATTCACTAGCTATGAAACTTTGGTTCCAAGCCTCAGTAAAATGACGATCTCTCTCACAAGGTTGTTTAGAAGATTAAATGATTTAATAATGTATAAAATGTGTAGGAAAGGGTGTGCTCAGTTATTTGGTAGCCATTATTATGATTACTTGATAGTCATTTGTCAAAGGTTAAACCAGGCAAGCACTAGAAATAGCTATAGGATGCTCACACTCTTGAGCTCCAGAATACGGAGCTGCCAACTAGCCCAGAGCATAGTCCTAGCTGGGAGAATCACAATGACTTTGTTGGGTAGGGAATCCATGGTTGCAGAAAACCAACTAAAAGGATCCTTGGGAACTCTAATCAGTTTGAAAAGGATTCTGGCCCAACCAGGATCTCCCAATAACTAGGATAATTCCCCATAAGGGTAGGTTGGGTTTAGCTCTATCTGGAATTTCCAATACAACCCCATACAGAATTGTTTGTGCATGGTCCAGAGGTGACCAGGAATATTTAATTCAATCCCCTTCCTCAGCATTATGTTTTACTGTGATTAAAATATATTTAAATATTTCAACAAATACACAGATAAATCACAGTAAATCCTACAAAGAAGAAAACTCAGTGAAAGCAGGGACTTGGTCTGTTTTGCTTGCTATTGAATACCTGGCATCCCAAAATAGTTCATGGCACATAGTAAGCATTCAATAAAGACATTTTAAAGGATGGATCAATGCCTATAAAATACATTTTGTTGTTGTTGAATAAATCTTTCCCCTTCTTTCCCTATGAAACTGTATTTAAAGGAGAAATACATTATATGATATCACTAGTAGCAGTCTCAGAATATGTATTTTTAAAATGTGACTATTTTATTTCAATCTAAACTGTTTCATAAAAACTGTTAATTACTAATATTTTAGAAAATACAGATTTTTGTTATTGAGGCACTTTAAGTTGTATAATAAAGGTACATTAACCCATACAAGGCACAACATTTTAAATAAAATCTTAAGAGCTTTCCATGGACCCTATATAGATTCCACTAACTTAGAATTTAGATATAGTATTCATATAAGATTTATTCTGAGTCTTGTTTTATTTTATGAACTAAGGGTTCAAAAAATTAATGATTCCTTAAATATACCCTCAAAAGACTGCTTTGGTAAGTCTTATAGTTACCACGATACTCTAATTATGCAGTGTGGCCAACTAGGAATTGAATTAAAATACTTTCTTAAACATATTTCATGTTAAGCTAATGATACAGCTTTTTCTATTTTGGCTTTAATGTATACTACATCAGAATGGAATAACATACTATCTCTTTAAATCATTTATGGTATATTTGGAAGAACAATAAATAATTGGAAATAGAAGCCTAATCAAATACCTGTGACTCTGGTCAAGGCACTTAACCTCTCTGTGTCTGTTTTCTCATCTGTAACAGAGAGATTATAATACATACCAACCCTCATAGATATATCAAGAGGGTAACATAAGAATATACATAAAAGCATTAATTTGTTTTTAATTTTAAGGAAAATTATTTGAATTTTTAAAACTAAAGATTGGCCTTTCTTCATATATTTTAAATTAGTAAGGAAGGGATCTTAAGCCCAATTCTACTTGGCTATCTTCTCAGAGTAAGTTTTTAGCATTTAAAAAAAAATTAATTTGAGAAACATTAATTTGTTCTTCCACTTATTGATGCAGTCATTGGTTGATTCTTGTATGTGCCCTGACTAGAGATTGAACCCACAACCTTGGCGAATCAGGATGACACACTAACCAACTGAGCTACCCAGCCAGGGCCAAGTTTTTAGCTTTTAATTAAGACATGCTACTGTGTCAGTCTTAACTAATGGCAGCTGAAGTTACAATCTTATTGGAATACTTCCTCCAAATACAAATTATTTTAATGTAAGCAACACAAAAAAATTTACATGAACGTGAAGTTTGTAAACATTGCAATAATTTACTTTAACTTACTCTTTTTTCCTACGACCATGAAAAAAACTGGCCCATTCAAAGCATGTCTTTTTGCTTCCAACCCAAAAAATGGAGGGAATACCAACTATGAGAGCCATCAGGTATTTCATCAGAAAGAGAATCAGGTCTGGACGACTCATCTGAGTGACCTAAAGAAGGGAAAGAAAAATATCTTAAACATATCAAAAGAACCTATTAAAGGCCATTATAAAATCTTTAAAATAAAATAAACAATAGTAAAATAATTCTACAATTTGATGTTTTCACTTGTATAGTTCTATAGTTAATTTTCTGGTTATATGGAAAGATACACTCCTGAACATTTGACGATAAATTTATAATCTATATTTTTAGTCCTATGTTTTTCTTATTAGCTCAGATTGGCCACCTTCTAAAAAAAACATTAATGTCCAAATAAACCATGAATAGACATAGAGGCTCAAGTAATACCTATACTGGCCAATTTTGCTACTCCTATATTTAAAAACTGTTATCTTTAATATGCTTTTCCATCTGCCTACTTCATCTTTACTCTGACTTTTTTCAAGCTTCCTCTTTAACCTATAAATTATTTGTAAATGCATTTTCTAGTTTTTTGTCAGATGAGTTTTTCAAAAATTTCGTTTTAATGCTGGACTCAAGTTTAATTATTGTGGTAAGAGAAACTGGTCTATAGATTCTAGTTACCTTAAATTTTGGAGACTTTTGTGATTTAGGACACAATTTTTCTAAGTATTCCTTGTGTGCTCAAAAATAACACATATTCTCTATTTGTTGGGTACAAAATTTTCTATATGTATTAGTTCAACTTCCATTAGTTGTGTTGTTCAAATCTTCCCTATATTCTTGACAATAATGCTCTAGCTGCTTATTTTACTTTATTAATACTCTTCACCTTAAATTGTATTTTATCTGACATTAATATTGTCACATCAGCTTTTCTTCCATGTTCAAATAGCTCTAGCTGTTCCTCCCGTCTGTCCTAGTTCTATCCTCTGGAGCTAAAAAGAATACAGCTACCATTCCAGAAGTCTAATCGATTCAATGAGATACCTGCCAGAAGCAAAACTTAAAAACATAGTGTAAGTACTGGGAACAGAGAGACAATAAAACTATCCAAAAGATCCAAGAGAATCAACTGGGGGGGGGGAAAAGGAAGAAACAATGAAAGGTTCAGTAATTAAGCTGGACAAGATTAATATACAAAGATCAAATTTTCTTATATATCAATAACCAGNATCCAAGAGAATCAACTGGGGGGGGGGGAAAAAGGAAGAAACAATGAAAGGTTCAGTAATTAAGCTGGACAAGATTAATATACAAAGATCAAATTTTCTTATATATCAATAACCAGATTAAAAAAATGAAAAACCCCTTCCAAGGTAAAAATTTTATTCTTGAGGAACTTCATACTGCACATTTTCAGTCACATAAGAAAGCAAAAATGGCCTGGCCGGGGGTGGCTCAACGGTTGAGCATCGACCTAGGATCCAGGCGATCAGGGTTCGATTCCCGGTCAGGGCACATGCCCAGGTGCGAGCTGCAGCTGATCAGTTGACTCTCTCATCATTGATGTTTCTATCTCTCTCTCTCCCTCTCCCTTCCTCTCTCTGAAATTAATAAAGATATATTTTTTTTAAAAAAAGCAAAAATGTTATCTTCCCCTCATCCTAGACATAAGAGCACAAAATTTCTTTTTAAATCATGACACTTAGAAGTTTAGCATCTAAAACGAACAAAAAGGGGGAAAAGGCACTTATTATATATTCCAGATTTCTTTGGTCAGGTTTCTCCCCAAGTGGTATTAATATTTCTTCTTTCAAGTCATATTACCAAAACAGTAAAAACCTGGAAAAATATATAAATCTAGAGATTACATACCATATCCCATACCAAGATAAATTCCTACTAGATAAAAAATTCAAATGTAAAAAATAAAAATCAAACAACAAAAAGAAGCCATGAAGTTCAAGATAAAAGCTTTACTCTCAGGGTAGAGAAAAACTGTCTAGCTATGACACAAAATCTAAAAGCCATAGAAGTAAACATAAATAAATCTATCATAAAAGTGAAGATACATCAATAAAACCGCAGCATTTTAAATGGCCGTAACTTCCATAACATAACCAAAAGACAATAAAAAAAGCAGACATAAAATTGTTGCAAACACTATGGCAGATAAAGGAGCCAATTTTGTTAATTAAGAATTACAAATAAGAAAAAAATCTACCACCTACAGAAAAATAGGTAAACTATGTGGATAGTTTACAGAAATTTAAATACAAATATGAGCGCAACTTCAGTTTTTTAAAAATTACAATTACATAATGATTTTTTTAGCCTATTAGATAGCACATCGTATCAGCAAATGTGTGGAGAAATACACTCATATATTGCAGATGAAAATATAAATTCATACAACCTCTGTAAAAGACAATTTGGCAATATTTATAAAAAGTTCACTCTTTGTGAAACTTTTGTATGTCAATTATATCTCAATAAAAAATTATACCTTTTGATCAAGCAATTATTTTAAAAATTTATGCTACAGATATAATATTCACATATATGTGAAATGACGTATGTACAAAGATGTCTGCAATAATAGTAAAATAATAGAAACATTGTGGTTTATCCAATCAGTGGCATACTATGTCATAAAAAATACTGAGGAAGCGTTTCTCTTTAGATGTTAAATGACAAAAAAGAAAAATGTGTATAACAACTACCATTTTTGAGTTAAAAAAGGGGGGGAGTAATATACTTGCTTGTATATAAATAAACATTGTTCTAGGTATCTACTACTGTGTAAGAAACCACACCAAAATGTAATGGCTTAAAACAAGAATTTATTATCATCTCTGACAGTTCTGTGAGCTGACTGGGCTCAGCTAAATGACGCTCAGATTCTCAATGTAGCTGCAGTCAGATGACAGCTGGGACTAGAATTACCTAAAAAAAGACTGAGCTGAACAGACATATAAGACGGCTTCTTCACTCAAATGTCTGACATCTCAGCTAGGATTGCTGAAAAAGGTGGGAGCTGGCTGGGGATTTCTCTCCCTCTTTTTCCCTCCCTCCTTTCATGCAGCCTGACCACACATAGCTTATGACTAGCCTGGGATTCCATACATCTTGTTTCAGAGCAGTCTTACTTCTTACTGAAGACTGGCTTTTCCCAGAGCAAGCATTCTAAGGGAACTTGGCAAAAGCTGCAAGACTTCTTAAGACTTAGCCTCAGGGTCATGCAGAATCACTTCTGCTCATTGTACTAATCAAAAGAAGTCACAGAGCCAGCCCAATTCAAGGAGAGGGACCACACAAGAGCAAGAAGTGTGGTTCATTGGCTAGAGGCAGAAGGGTGCATATCTCCAAAGAGTAGCTACCAAAATATTATAAAAATATACAGAAAAATGAAAATAGTGGTTATATTGATGGGAAGGCATTTTCTCCCTCTGAGCATGTTTTACAATAATTTTCCCCTGACATTTAGGAATATTTTAAAGTGGAGAAAATTATATGTATATAATTAACATTTACAAAACATATGTAACCAGAAAAACTTTTACCATATAAATGGAATGCCAAAAGCTCATGTGATACAATGTAAATGGATTATAGTAGGTATCAATAAATGTTCTACAAATGAATTGCTCTAAGAAATTATCAAAAATCATAATTGACATTTAATATATGGTATTACAGTGACTATTGTAACTATCTAAAGCACGCTATATAAATAGAGTAATGACCAACTAGATAAAGAACATTATGATGAATTATAAATGAATCAATGTCTAAGACTTATGTTCTGCATTCACACACACACACACACACACACACACACACACCCCATCTTGTGACTTCCTTACATTCTCTGTTATGGCACATTACTTCTTAACAATAGATTTTCACATAATATTAAGAAAACAAATATATGTAGCATATCAAATGGGTTAAAATATATAAAGTACTTAGAACTGTGCATGACACCTAATAAATGCTCAAACATGTGGTACATGAAGCTACTGTCCCAAAAGATACTAAAAGGTAATCCACAATAAGATATTCTGTGGTAAAATAAAATTTGGATGTTATAATCCTTCCTTGGAGATTCACATGCACATTCATACACAAAAGGCTCTGAGAAGTCCTGAAATAAGGAACTGTTTATCTGTTTATCCCAGTGTTTCCTATGCTGCTATACACTTAAATTTCCCCATCTGAAAATTAAGGGGTTGGAATATGTAAATTCTAAGGCTTATCCTAATAGCCTATGACCCTAATAATCTTGAAATTTTTCCTAGGGGAATTAGAGACTAGTTTTTATTACATCTAATTTTGCTCCAAAAATTATTTTCCTTTTCCATGATTTAAAAATCTATAGTACCAGTTGAAATATACACATTAACCATGATTGTACACATTTTTTTGGGCTCACAAAAAACAGTAAGTTCCTATAAAAGTGATGGAAGTAAGGGGAAGAATGTGACCATTGAGAAGCATGCTTCAAGTCACATCTGCTTATATTCAATGAATAGTGAGAACACAATGACTGATTGAAGAAAATTATTTGTAAATGTAAAGACATAGCTTACATAAATTTATATAATAATGTAGCTTAATGAAGATGAAGAGGCCAAGGACCTAAAAATTAAAACTAGTAAAATTGTAATCAAAGAAGTATCGTGGCAGGTTTAATCAGAGTTGAGCAAAGAATTAGAGGTACTGTGTGGCATGAAAAGTGCACTGGCCTAAACAATGTGACCTTCGTGAAATCACATAAAATGGGGGGCTTGAACTTAATGACTCTGGGGCTGCAGTCAATTGACTGACCATTTGCAGTCTAAAATACTCTTCTTCAGAGACAGTATACAGTCTAATCCCTTTATTTACGTATGTGGAATCAAAGTCTGGGAAAAGTGAATCAATTTGCTCAAGGTCATGCAGCTAATTAATTCAGTGACTTAAATACATAGTGCCTATATGTCCTGCTATAAGAGCTATACCAGTAAATGAGTAAAAAATGCCCTGCCCTTTTGAACTTACATTCTAGGGAAGGGTATGGAAAGGGTGAGCATGGAATGCTGTCAATAAACAAAGAAATAAAGAAATCTAATAATTTCAGATAGTAATAAACTCAGAACTA